CTTCCTCAGTCAAGGCTAGCTGAGGCGCATCTGATATAATTAGAGAAACGTTACTTCACTTCCTGATCGCTGCTCTAGTGGCTCTCCAGAAACCCAGGGATTGGGCTACTGCTATTCCACATGTAGCTGCAGCTAATCCTTGTAATAATCCAGTCAGACAGTCACATCCTCAACTGACAAATGAGAGAAATGTGGCTCAAGAGGCCCAGAAAATCCCTAGGGCCACCCAGCTCCTTAAGTGGAGCTAACTGGGGAACGTTAAAATCCCCATAGACAGAGGCCAGACCCTCTGAGGTTTGTTCTCCCTCTGTGTGTGCACGAGTGTGTGCAAACATGCTCTCGAGTTGAGAGTCAGGGGGCCAGAATGGGAGTGAGAGGACAGCCCGGTGAACTCAAGTATGGAAGCGTGCGCATGGGCACACACTCACATGGTCTGGGGGAGATTTGAAATAGAAAATGAACCTGACGGATTTAAGGTGTGAACTCTACTAACTTCCCGAACAAAAGTGCTTTTCAACTGGAGAAAATACAGAATCTGTGGTTTGGAATGAAAAAAAAAAACAAAACAAAACAACAACAACAACAAAAACCCAACAAAATTCTTTTCTGGGGCGAAATGTGGTCCTGCTTGTGAAAAGTTTGGGCTCTCTGCTATGTCAGAGACCTTGTCCTGAGAATGACATCCTCTCCTGGGAGTGCTTGGTGAGAGGTTAGGCAGCTGAGGGCAGTGCAGCTTTTCTTACGGGAGCAGCTCCACCAGCTGTGTGAAAAACTGCATAGACACCGGGGCACTGTGCAGTGGGATCCCTAGTTCTGAGAAAAATAATAATAATAAAACAGCAAGCAATAAACAAACCCTGCATTTCAGGGAGCAGGACAAGTGTGAGAAACCAGGGGCTGTTGCTGATGAGTATCTTTGGATGCTGCAGAAGTGTCATGATCATCTTATGTCAGAAACACAAACAGGCAGGTCTGGGCATGTCTGTGTAGGGCTTTATTTAATTTTATTTTTTGTTTGTTTGTTTGGTTTTGGTTGTTTGAAACAGGGCTTCTCTGTGTATCCTTGGCTGTCCTGGACTCACTATGTAGACCAGGCTGGCCTCAAATTCACGGAGATGCTCCTACCTCTGTCTCCCCCAGCGCTGACATTATAGGTGTGTGTCAGCATGCCTGTGTATGAAATACCTGTGTATTTCTACAGTGTCTTGATTTATGAAATAACGTTAAAGTCATAAAGTATGGTGGCTCCGTTAGCGGCAATTTGCCAGATAATCCCACTTTCCTTGGCAGCTGGAACTGAGACAATCTCAGGGTTGGTTTATTCCAACCTTAAGTACTAATATTAACTCCCAGATCACATGTTATACACCACACAGTAAATGTCTATTTTTGAAGTACATCTGTATGGATGGATGTGTGTCTGCATGCATGCATGTTGCATTACAGAATGGCTACCAAAAATTAAAAGAGTCGAGGCATTTCAAAGAAATCCAATGGGCCAAAGCTGGGGAACTGATTGTGAGGCAGAAACCAAACCCAGCTGCATGAGAGGCAGGGAAGCTGCTGCGGCTGCTGGCGCTAGAGATGGCGGCTGTAGGATTTAAGTGGACGGAGATGCAGCAAAGAGGTAAGAAGGGCAAGACGCAGTCTGGGCAGATGGACAGCTGAGTAGGTGAATGGACGGCAGGTCCGGATGAGTGAGCACATAGACAGGCGGATGGCAATTCCAGCAGGCAGCGTCAGCAGTGGGGACTCAATGAAACTGAAGCCCTTGGGACAGTTGGGAGTTCTCTGCCTGTTCGTCCCTTGACCACATAGCAGTGGTCTAGCATGACGGGCCACCATCACAGTGTTAGAAGTCCATCATCTCTTTATGGGGTCCAGGTGAGGAGGTTCTTCCTTGGTCTGGTGGGTCTGAGAAGCTCTTGGTCTGGGTTTTCTGACTGATTTTAATACGACCACCTGCCCCTACAGTCTCAACTGACCTGAGAAATTTATAGGGCAGCATCCTTGGTATTCCCAGGAATAGTTGTTGTTTTTCTCTTTGTTTTTTGATCTGGGTTGTGAAGGCGGTGTCAGACAGGTGGTGTCATTCACAGGTCCACCCAGATGCAGTCATCTTTGCCTCTTCAAAATGGAGTCAAAAGCTGCCTGTAAATGGACTCTCTCAAGGCAAGATTCCGCCTAGAGAAACCACTGTTTTAGGTGATAAAGGTGTGACTCAAGGCTGTGCATAGCCCAAGCCTAATGAGAGACTGAGGGAGGCCAGCGAAGTTCTCTTGTGAGTTCTCTTAGCGGTCTTGTGAGTAGGTCAGCATGGAGCTATGATGTGCCAAGGGGCGAAAGAGAAAGGCATTTTATAACAGTAACAGCCGTGATGACTCCATTGCTCCTTGGAGGCCAAACTCTTAGGAGAGGAAGCTTTGTAACTTACAAACAAAATTTCAAAGTCATTGGACTCTCTTCAAAGATAATGTTAGCTTACTCATTCATCCCACAAACACACAAGTGTCAGCAACAGCTCAAGGCACTGGGGACACGCCACACCTTTGATAGAGGCAATTTTGTCCAGAGGGTCAGGGTACAGTTCAGTGGAAAGGCAGAAGAGTCTGGGCTGGATTCTCAGCCCTGCAGAACAAACAAAGCAAGAGAAAACACACACTCATCTGAATGTAGGGACAGATAACCAATAAGTAATTGAATATATGGTAGCAACAGAGGATATGACATGCAGGAGGGTCTTAGTAGGGTTGTGGGGGTTGGGATAGATGTCCTGTTTAGGGCTGAACACTCAATAGAACTTATTCTCAGCACTTTGACCAACTGTCTGTCATCTCTGCTTAACTGTTGAGCACTGTAGAGAGAAGCTTCCAGCCAAGGTTGAGGGAAACACTAATCTATGGGTATTAACATAAATGTTTAGAATATAATTTGACAACAATAGCAGATTTCTCTCTAGGCCTGGAAGTTAACAGCCTTCATTTGAATGACAATTTCCTTTGATATAAAAAAGCTTTTTAATTTCATGAGAATCATTTGTTGATTATTGGCCTCATTTCCTGAGCAATCAAAGTCTTATCCAAAAAGTCCTTACCTTTGCCTATATAAGTGTGCTCCCTAATTTTTTTCTCTAGCAATTGCATGTTTGTCTATTAAGACTTATTTATTTATCTATTCATGTGTGCCTGTGTTTGTGTGGGTGCTTGCATGCATGTATATGCAGAGGCCAGAAGTGGGCATCATTGTCTTATATCATTCTCTGCCCATTTCTTTGAGGCAGGGTCTCTCCCTGAATCTGAGGCTTTTGTTTTCTTAAGCTGCAAACCAGCAAGCCCTAGTGTTCTCCTGTCATGTGGGTTCTGGGATTTGAACTCTGGTCCTCCTGACTGTGGAGCAAATGTTATTAACCTCAGAGCCCTTTCTCCAGTTCCTTGTTTGTTTGAAGTTTCGAGTGTAAATGGAGGAAAAAAAAATGTGTTTATGAATAATAAAAACTGACCTGATTCTGATGCTGAGAGAATTACAGAGTCTGGGAACTCCACTGACCTATTGCAGCAGGCAAGCTTTGATTTCGACCTCTGAGGACTGAGAAAACAGAATTGGTCAGGTAGAATGAGCAAAGTATCAGAGTACAGTCATTAATTACAATTATATGTATGTAGTGTGTGTGTGTGTGTGTGTGTGTGTGTGTGTGTGTGTGTGTACACATGCCATAGTGCACATGAGAAAACCAGAGGACATCTTGCAGGAATCAGCTCTCTTCTTCTACCATATGCATAACAGGAATCAATTTTAGTCATCATATTTAAAGACAGGAGCCATTCCTTGTTGAGCCATCTCACCTAATATTGAGGAGTTTGTGGAGAATGCAGAGAAGGCTTGTCCGTATCAGGTTTGGGAGGACCACTATATCTGCACATTACCCATTTATCTATCTATTCATCTATCCATCTATCTATCTATCTATCTATCTATCTATCTATCTATCTATCTATCCATCCATCCATCCATCTATCCATCCATCTATCTATCTAATCGCTTTACATGTTGATCTCAGGCCCTTCCCTCCTTTCTTCCTAGTCCCACCCTCATGTGCTCCTCCCTCATCTCCCCTTTCCTTCTCCTCAGAGAAGGGGAGGCCCCCAAGGGGCTGTTACCTTGTAAGATAGTATAGAATGGTTTTAAAATACCACTGTGTCCCCTGCTTCCTGATTTTGCTTGGCCAGCCACCTTCTCCAGGCCCCCATGAGAGTCCCTGGTATGACCATGGATATAAGAATCACCTCAAGGCTCTGGAGAGGTTAGTGGTTAAGGGCACCTGCTTTTTTAGAGCACCTGGGTTCACTTCCCAGCATCCACATGGTGAGTCACAGCCATCTGTAACTAGTTCCAGAGGCCCAAGCGTTCTCTTCCTTCTTCTGTGGTCAATAAGAATGCATACAATGTGTTAATATACATGCAGACAAACCTTTTATACACATAAAATAAAATTAAAAGGAAAGAAAAAGCATCACTGTAAGAAATAATCCAGTCTAGGCTCTGGGAATGTGCAGGAACCTGCTGCTGCTGCTGCTGGGAGCTTGGAGACAGTGCATTCTGAGGGACAGGTGAGGAGACAATCAGAGACCAGTGAGGAAGGGCCCCTCTGGTACAGTTGAGTCAGAGAACTGAGGGAATACTCTTGGAGGGACTTTCACCTTGGTAAGGAACTCTGGTGCTATGACCTGCTGTTACAGCTGTGTCCAAGAGGAAACTGTTCTGTGAAGAGTTCCTAGGGTCATCCAGTACAGGTACATACAGCTCAACCACTGCTGAATGAACTACAGTCGGGGAGAGAATTGGGGTTCAAGTCCCCACACTGCACAGCCAGTTGTGAACTTACAGCCAAGGGGCAGGGAGGGGTCAGTGGATGGAAAATTCCTAAGAGGAAACAACCAGAATAGGGAAATTCTGGCTAAACCAACCTAACAGGATTCCTGAAGAAGCCTGCTAGGGTGATCCCCAGTCCTGGGGGAGTTCTGGGAGACATGATAAGGAGTCTGAGCATTAAAGATGGTCAAGCAGATATCCTGGTTGGGGAACCTGTTAAAATTATTGGGGTTCCTTTGTTAGATCTGAACCTGAGGAGGAAGTTCTCGCTGTCTAGGAGAAGGTTCCTAGAAGAAAGTTTGTGCAAAGAACCTTTGTCTGCTGCCCCGATTCTCCTCCCAGTTTGGCGTGTCTTAAGGGGCCTGCTTAGCTCTCTCCTTATTCTCAGGACCAGGGAGGAACTTGATATAGGCACATCCCCAGAGCAGTGTGGGGAAGCAATACAGAGCTGTACAGGCCTGGCCAAAATGACAAACTTAGGCAGCGAGCCTGGGCCTTCAAAGAATGAGATAGCAGGGTCTTTTCAAACGGGGACTTAGGAACAGCTTGGAGAGTCTTTCAGGCCCCAGGCCAGTTGCATGCTGTGATTCCTCCCAGAGGAAGCCAGGACTGGCCGGTTACAGTCCCTATAAGCAGAAGCAGTGAGCATATGATTTATTTTCAAGCCTCCAACAGATCTTTCCTTTGTGAAGGATTTTCCAGCAATCAATCCCCATGGGCTTTGTCTCTGTTACACAGAGATGGGACCTGGTGTGCTGTGTGTTTGAGCTCCCCTGCTGACGCCCTCAGCCAGCAGGGTTCTTACTCACCACCCAGGCATGTGGCTGTGAGTGTGGGCCCAGCCAGTAGGGAGAATATTTCCATTCCTCTTTTTAAAAACCAATTCCTCTTTTTAAAAACCAGAGGAACAGGGCGATGAAGGGTTCTTAACTGACACCACATAACTAAGTTGAGTAGCTTGGCTCTCAATTCCCCCAGACCCTAATATAACACGTGGTTGCCAGGTCATTCCCATGGCTTAGAATGAGTTCCGTGTCATATGTAGAGGCCTGACAGACTAAAGGAGCAGTGACGTGTGTTTTCTTCAGTGTCAGATACACTGGCAGCTTGTTAGTTCCCCAGGAGAGCTGCAGCCCAAGGCCTTGGCATTTCTTCCACTCTAGCTTCCTTGTGGGACCGTAGCCCATCTGCTACAGTCTTGGGGGCAGTCCATGAGAGGCTCTTAGTTTTCTGCGAACCACAGGGCAAAGGGTCTCCATTACCACCACATTGTATCATCTTGGCCTATATACAGTATCACGGTAGTAATACGGAGGAAAAGGGGTCCTAGGCTCAGTGTCAGCTTCTTTAAAGGAAATCAGCTGAGCTGTTCCTTGTCCCTTGTGTGGGAGACTAAGTTATCATTCCCCATGTTCTCACAGTTTTCTGTATCCAGGCAACGGCCCAGCAAACAGGCCTGGCTGGCTGACCCGTGAGACGACGCGTAGGACTGGCCGTAGGCAGTGCTTCCTTCAGCTCAGTCAAAGGTCTCAGGAGCTGTATCTCTGTTTACATCTTTCACAACTCAGCCTCACTGTGAACATGACTTCGAGATTAATCTTTCCAGGCTTTTCTCAAAACAGTCTTTACTTACACACACACACACACACACACACACACACACACACACACACACACGCACACACACACACACACACGCACACCAAGTTTTCTTTACACACCCCCTCCCACAACAAAACCATCAGAATTTTATGCTGAGAAAGTAAACCTCAGGGAACTGGACTCTTTTGAAAAGAAGGAATTGAGGTTAAGTATATAATTGGCTACTTTCTCCATTTTCTGCCCCGCCTTCTGTTACTGCCCTCTCCCGGGGAAGGAAACCCAGCAGGCTGAGTCAGAGCCTTTCAGAAGCATAAAAACATTAACAATCGGGCCTTGTATGTGCCCAAGCCTGTTCTCTCCATTAGCCACAAGCCCCACGGTCCCCCCTCTGTATCATGTAACCTCACTGTGTTTTATGGTGCTGTCATTCTCTTCGTCTTTGCCCCTACATCTGTGACATTATAGATCAATAATTTTGAAGGCAGAAACCCTGCCTTTCATTATGAAAGTCTCCAAAAGAATCCTAGGAGTTTTACACATGCGCACATTTAAAAAAATGGTAAAGCCAGAAAAGAAATATTTAATATACAGTGGTTTCCTAAATAGACCTGTGTAGGACACATCACACACGTAAGCCTAGCCTGTGAAATCATTCACTTTCCTCCGTTTGTTTGCTAACAATGCTGTGGCTCAAAGAATGGAGGGACTCAGGCAAAGCCTCAGAGAGAGCTGGGACATGATTCTTGGGCTACAGCAGGGATTTTCTCAACCCTTGGTCCTCCAGGAGACTAGGTGATGTGGGAGATGCATTGGTCTGGGATGCTGATCAAGCCCCACCCCAGGCCTCTTTCCCTTCTGCATGGCCTAGCCATGGCACCCTGCCTGTTCTCAGGTTGTTTTACCACTGATAAGAGGCCCAGGTCATTCTGGCTCTAGCTGGCTTCAACAAAAGCAGATCAGGGCATGTTCAAGTGTGTGATGTCATTATCTTAGCCACAGAACTGCACCATGAATCACAGACTGAGAAGAATAACATTTGTTTCCCCGTCTCATGAGGCAAACAGCACATTTAGATAAAAGAAAAAGGAAGAGCACACATTTTATCCTTTGTGTGTATGAGTGTAAGGTGTGAATGCCTGTGGACTGTGTGAGTGTGTGTGTATGTGTGTGAATGTGTATGTGTGTGTGTGCCTATGAGATGTGTGTGTATGTGAGTGTGTGCATGGTGTGAGTGCCTGTGATCTGTGTGTGTGTGTGTGTGTGAGTGCGTGGTGTGAGTCCCTGTGATGGGTGTACACACTTGCCACTGTGCACATGTGGAGGTCAGAGGACAACCTTTGGGAGTCAGTTCTCACTCTTCACCTCACGAAGGAAGGCCCTCTCTTGTTTTCGCTCCATCTCCATGTACAAGATTCTGTCCATGCCTCCCACCTCCAGGCAGGAGTGCTGGGATTACAGGTGTGGGCTACATCCAGCTCATTTGCGTTTGTTTGTTTTTGAGACAGGGTTTCTCTGTGTAGCCTTGGCCTTGAACTCACAGAGATCCGCCTGCCTCTGCCTCCCCCGGTGCTGGGATAACAGGCGTGCACCATGGAGCCTGGCTCACGTCTAGCTCTTATCATGGGCCCTGGGGATCAACTTCAGGTCACCAGGCTTGCCCACAGGCAAGCACTCTCACCCACTGAGTCATCCCCCAACCCTCCCAGATAACGTTTAAGCATGTTATTAGTAATATATTGATCTTAACTTTTTTAACTTTAATTTTAATTTTTGTATGAGTGCTCATGTGTACGCCTGAACACCTGTGAGGAGGCCAGAGGCCAGCCTCAAGCGTCACTCCCCGGGAGCCAGGTACCTTGTGATTTAGACAAGTTCCCTCTCTCACTGGCACCTAGGCTACCTATCTGGTTTATCTGGCTTTCCAGCAAACCCCAGAGACCCCACCCTCACCCCTGTTTCCACTTTCCCAGCACAGGGATTAAAAGTGCGCACCCCACTTGTAAAGCAGAGACTGAACTCAGGTCCTAAAGTTCTGCAAGCCAGCACTTTACTGACTCCAGATTCCCTTTTCATTATTCTTCGAAATCTCAATTCGCCCACCCCATGGCTGAGTGCCCTGTTTAAAACCCATGAACCAAAGCTCTCCTGAGGTGTCTGTGGGAGCTCTGGGGTTTCGTGAGATGGTAGGGGTTACCGTCTTGCTTGGGGGAGGTGGAGTGAGGTGTATAGATCTGTCCTCGTCATGTTATAGGAATCAAACCCAAGGAAAGGGAAGATGACGCTCAAAGTATATGAATTATGGCTCTAATATGCTAATGTTCATTAAAGTGCTGTGTAAAGTTCTCATCAGCTCTCGGCACTGTCTGGTGGACCTGACTGCTGTGTGACCCCGGAAGCTGACAAAGGCTCACTCCTCCTTTTGAAAGCAAATGCCTTTTCTGTTGCTGGCTAGGGGCTGTCTCGTGCTATGTCAGAAGAGATGAGAACCTGCAATAGTTCCCATATGGTGAGAGTTGTGTGTATATGCAGCTCCATATCAGAATGTCCACACTTCCAAGACTCCATGGACAAATAGTCCAGATCCCTGGGCAAGCTGCGTGAAACTGCAGCCATGTTCTGGTCGTGTGCAATAGAATCTTCTCTTCCCAGAGAGGAAAGCAGCTAATGCCTGAGGTCACTGAGGTATGTGGTGAATTATAGACCGACACCTATAGTATGGTCCTATTTCTGAGGCCTGAGAATATGGATATATACCTGCCACCCTCAAAATAGTGTGCCTCTACCAACAGTGAGACTTCAAAAATGAATTTTCATACTGACCTCAGCCTTCACTTCTTTTTTTTTCCCCTGATGGTGCAAATGATTGAACCCAAGGCCTTGTGGATACTAGGTAAGAGGTGTACTCCAAACCCACTTCCAGATTTTTAAAAAAACTGCAATACATTCTAAAATAAAAGTTTTCTACAAAATGAATTTTCCTGCCTGTTACTTATGCCTGTGAGTATTTTTTGCCAAGCGTTACATGGAAATAATCAACCACACATGCTGTTGTTGGGGATTTTTTTGGAGACAGGATCTTACTATATACTTCAGGCTAACCTCCAACTAGCTTGTTTCTCTCTCCTGGGTGCTCAGATTATAAGTGTCTACTGAGAGCTGGGTGTGATGGTGCTGTCTGTAATGCCAGCACTTGGGGAAGCAGAGGCAGGCGGGGCTCTGAGTTTGAGGCCAGCCTGGTCTACAAAGCAAGTACAGGATAGCCAAGGCTATACAGAGAAACCCTGTCTTCAAAAATCAAAAAAGAAAAACAAAGGTGTGTACTGCCATATCTGGCTTACTGTAAATATATATATGTGTGTGTGTTATGAATAATATATATATACATATATATGTATTTTTCTCTTCTGCCAGGCATGGTGGTACATGACAGTAATGTCAGCACTTAGGATACAAAAATAGAAGGAATTATGAGTTTGTGCCCAGCCTAAGCTATGTAATGAGTTCAACTACATCCTGGGTTACTTAGTAAACTCACTTTTCTATTGCTGTGACAAGACACCACGACCAAGGCAATTTAATAAAATAAAACATTAATTGGGCTTACAGACTCAGTGGGTTAGATGATGGTGGAGAAAAAGGTATAATGGCAGGAGCAGCTGGGAGCTCACATCTCAGTCCACAAGCAAGAGGAAGAGAGCAGTGCACACTGGGAATGGCAAGTCCTTTGAAACCTCAAAGCTTGGCCCCAGTGACACACCTTCTCCAACAAGACCACACCCCCTAATCCTTCCCAAACAGTTCTGTCAACTGGAGGGCAAGTTTTCAAACATGTGTGCCTAAAGGGACCATTCTTAACCAAATCATCCACCCTGTCTACAGAACAAAACAAAAATAAATGGAATTCTCAATCTCTTTTGGCCTGGAAATGTGGCTCAGTGGTTGGGTGCTTGTCTAGCACCATACAAGGCCCCAAAAAACATTACATGCACAAAAATCATCTCCTTCATTACTTAGGACTTGGCGCTTGGTTCTCTATTTTCATTCTAGTGATGTTCTGTTTTATAACATTCTCCCTATTAATATACCACTGCAAACATAGGCGAGCTCTGAGTAACTGGACACCGTTCTTTCTACTTCTCTGTCCCCCTTTGTGATCTGCACACTCTAGGCTTTGTGTCTCCTTGGTCCTCTCCTCCATCCACATTTCAGGTTGCCTCCTCCAAGTTCAGACAGTTTTCCATGGGATACTATTTTGTCCCCTTTATGGATTATTGACTAACACCCTGTTTATGTGTGTGCTATAAAAAAATCCTTTAAAAACATGTCTTACATACATAAAATTTCCAGATATTCATTAGCAGTAACTGTAGGCTTCTTTATTCTTCCCATCATCCCACAAAGACCCTTTCAGGGCCTGCCATGTTTCAGACAATGTGTTGGAGCAGTGAGCAAAACAGAAGCAACTGGTCCAGGGAGAGCATGCTAAAGACAGACCCACGCACGCCTCTGTACATGGCTTGTGCAACAGGGAGAGGCAGAGTGAGTGAGAGACCTGCAGTGATTCCAGGGACCAGGAAGAGAGGGCAGAGAGTACATTCTCATTTGAATGCTGCTGCAGAGAGTATGGGCTAGCAAGCCAGCCCCAGCCTATCACCCAGAAGCCTAGTCTTAAAGTAATGCTTCAGGAAGGTTGACTTGGGGAAATATTGTTCTTTTTAAGTTCCTGTCACAGAGGACTGCCTTCTTTGCTTACTCGGGTTTTTCTTTAACCTCTCTGTGGACTCTGGTGGGGGGGGGCAGTATTCAGTTGTTCCCTTATTCATGATTGTCAGAATTTCGTGGACATTACAGTTGGACTCTCAGAGGACTCCTTGCCATGGAGAAGTAACATGTGTTTTGTTCACTGGGAAATACCCTGGCCCACGTTAATTATGTGGTGGTTTTAATGAGAGTGTTACTGGAGATGTTAGGGTCAAAGCCTGGGCCCTGGCAATCCTAACAAGGGAGGTTCAGCCACCGTCCTCAGGAAGCCAGTGAAAGAGACATATAGTAGCAAAAGGCAGAGAAAGGAGGTTTGTTCTGTGTGGCCACAGTGGGAAGAGAAACAAATGAGGAAAACTGACTGCCAACTACATCTCTGGGGCCCTGATATGAGGTTTAGAATTAATGGAATTTAATAGGAATGCAGCACTAAGTCGCCCTGACCAAGGTGTGGTCCCATTGTCAATGACCTATCCTTGTTAGTCTCCCATGCCAGGTAGTCTGACAGTTGTCAGAATTATGCCAAGTTTCTTCCTGGGGAACGAGCTCTTCTTTGGACTGGTACAACATTTTAACCTTTTCCTTCTCCTTGCATAAGTCTTCTAGAGAAATTCTATTTTCTTGGGGACCATTGCTTCCATGGTCTGTTAAACAAAGAGAGGGGTGCGTGTGTCTCTTTAGAGTATCTGCGTTCCTGTCGGGGCAGTTACAAGGATAGATGGGTGGACCAGAGAGCGTTGGGTGTTCATGGCCTTGGGGGCATGCCCCCACCTAGGCAGCTCTGCGCTTTCTTGTTCCCTCTGCAGATTAATTGGCACAGCAACTGTCTCCCTGAAGGACCTGATCGGGGACCAGAACAGATCCTTGCCCTACAAACAGATCTCCCTGCTAAACGAAAAGCAACAAGACACTGGGGTGAGTGTTCTTCTTTTGTGGAAAGACAAAATAAGGTGGTTAAGGAAAAAAATCCATTTAGGAGGACTTTAGTTTGACAATCAGCTCACTACACAAAATACTGGAAGTTTGGTTTCATGGTAAATGATATGGGCCCTATACTTAACTTCCGGTCACAGAACCAGTAAATTTGAGATTTGATTTGACAGAATTCCATATGTTAAGCAGAAACCCTCTGGTTACAGCTCAGTGCCATTCACATGGGTGTTGGCATTTAGCTTTGGGTATCTAGACTTTGGCGTTGGGTATCTTACATACCAGACAAAGAAGACTTGTATTACTTGTATTACAAAGAAGACTTGTATCTATGTTAAGATGATAGTAATATCATCGTCTTTACCACCACAATGGTGGCTGAATATATGATGATCCTAGCCCTTCTATATAAGCATATGTTTTCTGACATAAAACCAGAATTCAAAGTTCCTAGCAACCAAGAGGCTGAAACAGGTGAGTTTCAGCTTCATCTACATAGTGAGTTCCAGGCCATACGGGAATAAGACCCTGTGTCAAAAAAAAAAAAAAGTGTATTTTAAAAGTTGACTTCTTGAGTAACTCATGTTTAGATGCTATATGACTACTAAGAAGTCTTTGAACACTGCCATGCTCAGCCCATGACCTCTAACCCCTTCATTTTCCAGCCAACTTACTTTGCTTATGAGCCTGGGTCAAGTATTTATGCTAGAGGCCTCACTGTAAGCATGAACACAGTGAGGCCTCTCGGCATTCAAAGGAGAGGATGCCAGGGCTGCTGTGCCCACCTCTGAGGCTGTGAGCTAGTCATCAGTTAGGACTCTGATCACAACACATACATTCAAAATGCCCTCTGCCATCTGACTACCCAGAACCCAGCAGAGAGAAGTGATGCCATGGCAAGGTGGGATGTCGTGGTCTTTTCAGACTGCTGAGTTTGTTGTTTGGTTGGTTGTTTTGGGTTTTTTTTTTTTAAATGTATGTATGTATGTATGTACTGAAGCAACTGGGGCCACTGCATGTAAAATAGCAACCTGCAGACGAGGCACCATGGGCTCCCCTAGGTTTTAAAAGTACAATTTCTCATGTTAAGTTTGAGCCCTGTGGTGCCGGCACACCGCCTTCATATTGAACCTTGGTCTGTGAATGAATAGCCACAAGTGCTGCTCTTGAGACTGTTTGCTATGGGACTGTAGGTAGGCCCGTTGACTCGGTCCAGTGTCCCCAGGCCGCTCTCATGCTCATCCACATTCACTGTGATGAGCAGACAAAACAAAACAAAAAGAAAACAAAAAAAAACAGGAGCCGTACAGACATAGATGTCTACACAGGCATGTGTGAGAGTCATTGGCCACAGCAAAACCAGTAAATGCAGGAAGAGAGGCCCAATTAGATATGGCCTTCAGATAAATAATGAATCATGTTTAGTCTAACTATGTCCTAAATATTAGAATATGCTATTCTGTATTCCATCTTCTTGAATTTTCAAAAGTTTTTATTTTATGTGTGTGGGTGTTTGTCCTGTGTGCACCGTGCGTATACAGTGAACACAGAGGCCGGAAGGTGTCAGATCACCTGAGACTGAAGGTACAAGGCCTCCACGCCGGTGCTGGAAATAAAATTCCGGTCCTCTGCACGGGAGTGGTAGTTGGTGCCCTTAATTGCTGAGCCATCTCTCCAGCCCCTCTATTGTATCTTCTAACCTGACGTATGGTGGGGTAGGGTTGAGAGTGGGGATGGAAAATCCTTTTGTCTCTCCCAAATTTGCATATTAAAATGCTGTCTTTAAAAGAAATGACCGTAATAGTAAATGGGCCTATGTTTGGTGAAATAAAAATTGGCAACCCTTCTTCAAAGTTAAGCATGTATTTCAGTGGCAGAACACTAGTGTATTTGGTTCCCTGATACTTCAGGAACAGGAGGGGCAGTTTTGTTTTGTTTTGTTTTTCTAATTTTCCCAGCAAAAATTTTTTGAAGTCTTATAGGTTCATGAAATATAAAGACATAAGATCTGCTTTGTTGCTCTTTTTGCTCGATTTCTAGGCAGCCTGGGATCACAGTTAATGCAGGAGGGATGTCAGTTATGTTTAACATTATGATTTGTACGTTTGTCTTTTCTTTAATCAGAGATGGCTTCCCTTTCATTCTATCTTATGATTGTGCCACTATATGCCTTTTTTACTAGTCATTTAAAATTCTTCCCTGGAGAGAAATATAAAAATAAATCTCAGCGATTAGTGTTCATGAGCAACAAATGAACTGGTCATTCTAAATGAGCCTCTCTGGTTGTAATTCTATGAGCAGAGGCTGTCTCCACTGCGAGAAAGAAGCTAGTCACAAGCTCACTCTTGCTTGTTACAGCACTTACTTTAGTCAGTGAGGTTGTCCTTGGCAACCTGTGACAAAGTGGCTTCTTCCCTGCTCTGCCCTGGCTCACCTGGAATAAGACAGGAATAGACCATTGTAACATCATTGTAACATCCCCATCTTTCCAGTCTCACTTTCTTGCCCAGCCCTTTCAAGACTCCTGCACCTGCTAAGTGTCTGTCTGTAATATTCTTTTCCCTTCACTGACTCTGTGCAATGCGTTCTTTCTGCTCAGGCCACCATTGACCTGGTGATCGGATATAGCCCACCTTCAACTCCACATCCAAATGACCCAAGCGGGACCAGCATGCCAGGCATGGGAGGTAAGCTGACCTTCCTGATGGCCCAGGTTACCCCAAGGAGACTGTTCCCCAAGGAGAATCAGTTAAAGCACACGAAGAGAGTCTCTGGAGAAACTCTGCCTTTACAATGTTCTTAGCTCTGCCCACCAGACAAGCACATTTCCAGTAGAGGTGGTGATGAAACATCTCTCATGGTTAGCACTCTCATTGCGAGTTGTCCAGTACATACAGAGGCTGCAGAAACATTATGGTGTTGCTGCAACTTTGTAATTTCCACTGAATACAATGTCCCAGCTTGTGAGGTCAAGAGCTTCTCTACTCTTCTTCATGTGTCATGGCTCCCAGAGGTGTGATTGCAGGGATGTGTTCTCAGCCACCTGTTTCATAGCCAGTGCCCTTGGATGCCCCCTTTTTTCTGAGCTGTGATCCCCTTCTACCCTTCCTCCCACGCCCAGCACCAACTCAGTCCACTAATCAAGTGTTTGCTTCAGCATGAGCCAAATGGCTTCCTGGGTCATTTTGTCATCAAATGTCACTCGAGACAGGGTTAGCCTGTGGCTTCTGGAAATGGTTTCACTCCTCAGGTAGAGGGAAAGTCTCTGCCTGACGATTCGTTATTTCACAAAGCTGAATTTTACTTCCCATGATGTTTTCTGCAGCATGATAGTGGTAATGAAAATAAGTTTTGTCCAAATGAAACAGAAAAGTGTCAAGAACGAGCAGTTTATTAACCTAAATAAAGTAGACAGACACTTTGTCTCTTTAGATTGGCCATAGAAATCTAAAATACTCTGTGCCACAAATATGTTTTCCCCAGAGCAAGGCTCTGCTTCCTCAGAAATGATCCATCCTGACAGGGAAAATATACAACCCTCCCCTGGCTCCCTTTACCTGAGGCAGTTTCTCATTACTTGGCAGATGTCAAGTAGCTGCCCAAGAAGCTGCCTCCCTGACACTCAATGACAGGCACTAGGCAAGCACTGGCCAGGTCTTCCACAGAGATTCCCATAATCCCAGCTGGCCTGACAGGCTGGACTGAGGTAGAGATGAGTCAGAATGAAGGTTCCTTGAATTTGGGTTTTTAAGACCATCACTATTCACTATTACTGCAAAAGAGCTGTCTGTGTCAGGGAACAATGCAAGTATATATCAAGTATAAATCAAGACAAAATTTCTTGATTTAGGAAAAAAAAAGGAATGATTCATTGTTCTGTAAATATTCGTTGTTATATAAAATGATTGCTAACTAAGGCTGGGTCAGTGTGACATTCAGAATTCTGGCTTCATACTCAGGCTGAAAGTCTTATATACAAAAAAGGGAAGGAAGAAAGAAGGAGAGGAAAAGAAAGAAGGATAGAGAGAGAGAGAGAAAAAACTAATTTACTAATTAGTAAAAGCTACCATTGGCTTTTACTGTTGAACACTTTAATGACATACACAGGACGTTAGGCCTAGAATTATTACCCCTTTAACTAACTCTTAAAGAATTACCATTTTGTACAAAAGTAATAAATGCTTCCCTTAACTTACATAGATATTTTCAAATTTTTGAAATTTTAGCTTGTAAGCTTTTTGAATACAAAAGAAATATCTGCTTATTAAAATGCAAGCATCACAGGAAAGACTGCAGAAGACATAGGAAGGGGGAAAATATATCTCATCCTCCTGAGATGTGTCTGCCAGCAGCTACTGACAGTAATGAGTTAAAGGCATCCACTCACACAGTGGCTGCTGTAGAGTGTGAAATCTTAACAATATAGCATAAAAGTAGGATGGTCAGAGGATGCCCTCTGCAAGCTGAAGAAACTAGTTCTGACCATTGACCAAAGAATTGAACACTTCAGCAGTTTTTTTTTTTTGAAGGAATGCTTTCAACGAGCCCTCATGTCAAGACGGCCGAAGATTCAGAGCTTTGCTGCATTGATGGTTGACTGGGAGTATGTTGTGTCAAAGATGTCCCCTCCACAGAATGCCTGGAAACTGGTCCTATAGCAGAAGATGGACTGAGCCAGTCTTTGGACTCAGCAGCCTGGAATCTTGTTACTATGGCAATTTGCTTACCTTCGGCCGGTCAGCTTGACTGGAGTATGCATTTCTGTACCAGAATGAGCTATTTTTAAAACCCCAGATCTATTTTTAAAGAACCATCTGTTCAATGTGTGCATTGCCCAACTAAAGATAAGCAAAAATTCATTCACAGCCTGACTCCAGTATTTCAAATTCATTTTATTCCAATAATAGGGAAGTGATTTCACTTGAAGACAAATATGATCTACTTCAGAAAAAGTTAGTGATACCCATACATTCTGCACACAGAGATGAGAAAGGCAGGGCCTGGCCACAAGGGGCTCAGAATCAGTAGAAAGATAAAGACAGAGTAACAACAGCCTAGAAAAGGGGGTAAGTTTTTCTCCAGAGAGGAGCCAAATAAATGATTGCATGTTTATCCAGTCACCTTCCATCGACAGGCCTATGAGATGGTGTGTCCGACACTGGCTTACAGCTTGTGCTATCAAAGACATATGCTTCCAGGGTGGATCGCAAGCCTGTGTTTCCCTTGTTGCTTGTTAAGTACAAACAAACAAATCAATAATCAAAACAACAAAGAAAGACAAAAGAAAAGAAACCCAGAAATACAGTAATTAAACGTCCTGCTGCTAGGTTACCCTTTTGTGCTTCCAAATTTTCTCTGTGTTATATTTTTTTGCTATAATTCTTTTAAAATATTTTATTTATGTGTTATATATATATATATATATATATATATATATGTATGCATACATGAGTGCTCTGCCTTTATGTATGTGTACATGCCAGAAGAGGGAATCAGATACCATTATAGATGTTTGTGAGACTCCATGTGGTTGCTGGAAATTGTGTTCAGGACCTCTGGAAGAGCAATCAGTGCTCTTAACCACTGAACCATTTCTCCAGCCCCACTGTGTTGTATTTTTTTTTAACTTACTCTGAAGATAATGTTATCCACCTTTGCTCTAGTTTTATAATGACCTTTTTTTGAAAGTGATGAGTTTCTGCTTTAACCAGTACAGACACCTAACCAGATTTTATCATAAGAAGCCAGATTAATATCACAGGCAAAATGGTGGCAATGGGAAAATGGTAAATATTGACCAAAGGGCTGGAGGAGAAGTGGCTGTTCAAGAAAAGCCTTTTTATTAGGAACAGAGAGGATTAAGTAGGACAAGGACCAGCAAGGGCTTAGGCAGAAAGGATAAAAGGTGTGAGAGCCTGGAGGAAAGGTCTGTGTGTTCTAGGAAGAAGGCTGAGGTGTCTGGGCAAGTGCTTTTCCTCAGGGCCATTCCTAGGCTGCCCTGGCTACACTGGAGACAACTGCCAGGCTCTCCCTTCCTAGCAGTGTGAGGGCCGATGGGGATGGTAGAAGCCAGCAGGAGACAGCCTGCAGATATGATAAAAATCTGTGCAGTCCTCTGCTTGGTGGGGAGCGTGCATGAGAAGAGCAGGGTTCCTGGAAGGAGCAGGGAGGTTGACACCCATTGGGGAAAGGGGCAGTAAGGATGCCAAAGGCTAACATGACTGTAGCGTACGGTGTCTGAGTATTGCCAGCTTTTCCATGCTGAGTAAGAACTGTCCCTGTCACCAGGACTGCACACAGTGGTAGTCTTCAAAACTGTTACTGTTGAGTTTCTGAAAAGAAGGTGATTCCTTGCAGGAACTGGGAAGGTTCATTTGATTGACTTGCTGGTGTTATGATTGGGGGTGTTAATGGAAACATTACTGGTGAGGTGAGGGTCACAGAAAGAAAGAGCTACGAGCATTTGGGAAGGGCACAGATGGTCAAAGCTTTCAAGGATTTGACCAAGTAGCATGTCATTGTTAGGAAGCAGGATGGCATTTGTACAGGGAATTGAGGTGGACATGAGCACTCTGAGCTACAAGAAGTCGGCAGATCTGATTCTGAGCACTGGTCCATTCTCAGGTTGTTGGTTTTGCTGATCCTCTCATTCCTTGCAACATCAGGAGTCTAGACGTAATGACCCTCAGGGTCTCTAACTAGGAAGTTCTCTTTGTTGCTGTTGTAAGGCAGGGTTTCACTCTAGGCCAGACTGGCCTCCAATCTACTGTGTAATCCAAGCCAATTTTAAATAGCAAGAGGAGAAAAGATCTTTGTAAGCGTGGTAGTTGATCTGAAGTTTGGAGTCACAGAAATTTTGGGAGAGAACACATATGTTAGTAGGGTGATTGATTTATAGTTTAAAAAAAAAAGAAAAGGGAGAAATTTGCATCCGGGCTTTTTTATGTCAGATAAATAAGCAGGATCCTTAACGGAGAATAAAGCGTTCCAGGTAAAACTAACTGCTGGGTGTTGGAGGCGGGGAATGTAGCTTGGTGGTGAGATGCTAGCCTAGCCTCTGTGTTGTTCTGGACATTTTCAGCCATGCATATGTTGGGAGCTGAAAAGATGAACTGATCTGACCTTGGTGGCTTATAGTAGCAATCTCAATCCAGGACCCAAGAAAACTTGGGTCTTGGGAATGTTGGGGATAGCCAGGCAGCACCACAAGCCCACTTAAGGCTGTGAGACCCATCAAGATGGTGTGTGCCCTTCTCAGCTGGGTTGAGCTGTCTAGGTACAGAGGGAGGATGAGCACAGAGTTGAACAAACACGTGTGTGTGATGCACGGAGAAGGAGAGAGGTTGAAGGGTATGCAGGGCAGCCATAATATTAGACCACGGGCTCTAAGAGCCTAGGAGAATACCGCAGACATGAAGGGAGTACCGGGTAGGAAGGTGGTGTGGGTGGTGTGGACTGGCGCAGCCTGTATAAGGAAGTAGTTAGGCAAATTAGGAAGGATCAAGGAATGCCTTCTCTAGTGGGTTGCATAATGTCCCCTGAAAAGTCATGTGTACGTGAAACTTCAGAACATATCATTTGGAAACAGTGTGTGTATGTGGTTGGCTAAGATAAGGTTGCCCTGGATTAGGGCAAACTCTAAATCCTGTGACTGGCGTCCTTAGGAAATGAGGTAAGGGAGTAGGCCGCATGACTACAGGCAGTGATTGGAGTGGCACATGGTTGCTAAGGATAGCTAGGAGCCACCATGTGGGAAGAGGCAGGAGGGCTCTTTCCCAGAGGCTTCGCATGCAGTATACCTCTGCCAGCACCTGAGACCTCACTGGAGGGTTTGAAGCTGCCAGAGAACATTGCTTTAAGCCACTCACTTTGCAGATCTTTATTAGGATAGCACTGGGAAGACGCTACACCCATTGAGTCAGCGGTTCCTAGCCGGGCGGGCATTGTCCTTTGTGGTCATGACAGAGTCAGTCATTCTTTGTAGCTTGGGTCTCATTAGCAGACCACGCCAGCGGAGACATTAGCATGTCAGTAGAGGAATAGCCTGTGCAGAAGAGTGTGTTCAGCAGGGCCCTGGGGCTCCCTCATCCTTCATGGAACACTTACTGTTGTTCAGCCCAGAAGGAAGAGGTTCAGAACCCAAGGCTGGAGTGAACAAATGCTGCTGGTTTTCATCTACTGAGCATTCTTAGTTTATACTCTTTAGATAGCCAGGAGTTCGGAGCTTTGTCGTTCGTGTATGTGTGTCCATGCATGTGCACGTACATTTGAGTGTACGTGCAATGCATCTAGAGGTTGATGTCTGAGGACTTCCTCAGTTGCTCTCCACCTTATTCTCTGAGACAAAACTCTCACATTGGACCTGATCCTCACTGAACCAGTGAAGCTATTTAGCCAATGAGCTCCAGGGATCTGTTTGTCTGTCTGTCTGTCTGTCTGTCTTAGCACTTACTGACTAAGCCATCTTCCCAGCCCCTTTTTGTCTCTTAAGAAAATGAAAGCTAAAGTTTGTCAGAGATCTAGTGAATAAAAGGGAAGGAAGTGGTGGTAGGCAGAGCTGATTTTTGTTGTTTGTTTGTTTGTTTGTTTTGTTTTGTTTTGTTTAGATAAAGAAAAATTAGTGTGTAGTTGAAGGGTTGAAGGAAGGAGAAAGGTAACATTGAAAAGGAGCCACAGTGGGTAACTAGGAGTCAGGGGACATTTGTGGAGTAGGCTCTAAGACACAGTGGAGGATGGGGACATTAACCTGCTGAGTGGGGAAAACTTTCTCACTTGAGTCTGTGATGTGCCTGGGAAGTAAAGAAGGGGACAGATGAGTGTTGAAGTAATAAACAGAAAGACAAGAAGAGGACATAACTCCTGTCCCTGCTTGGCAAGAAAAGGGGAATTTTCATCTGCCATGAGGGCAGTCTTGGTGATCATGGCATTTGTGACTGGAGAGGCTGAGCAGGAGGGAACCTAGCGTGACTCCTGGGTCGGTCTCTAGAGGAAGACCTGCGGTGAGAAGCAGGGGGTGCGGGCTTGAAGTCCATCTACAAGTTTGGTTCTCCATGGCATCTCCTTATCTCTCTAGCTCCTGATCTCAGACTGGTTCCTGAGATGAGCGCTCACTTATCCCAGTCAGTCCAGGCCACAATACTCCTCTCACCAACCCTGTGCTCTCTGACATTCCCTTGTCTCTGTGAAGATGGTCTGAGTAAGGGTTCTAATACACCATGAATGTGTTGTCTTAAAGAAGCTGTCTACATTTGTGTAGGGGGCCTAGGTCCAGTCAATGCATGGTCCTTGGTTGGTGTTTAAGTCTCTGCAGGCCCCACCTGGGCCCTGGATAATTGGTTCTGTTGGTCTTCTTGTGGAGCTCCTGTCCCTTTCAGGTCCTTCTGTCTTTCCCCCAACTCTTCTACAAGACTTCCTACGCTCTGCCCAATGTTTGGCTGTGAGTCTCAACATCTGTTTCTAGCCACTGCTGGGTGGAGCTTCTCAGTGGACAGCTATGTTAGGCTCCTGCTGAGCAGCTCAGTCTTCATATGGGTTCCTTAGTAAGGGGAGCTGGGGCTATCTCTGACAAGAACTCTGTTGCCTGCTTTTTGATCACTTCCCTCTGGCAGAGCTGCCTTGCCAGGCCACAGGAGAAGAGGATGTGCTCAGTCCTGGTACAACTTGATGTGCTAGGGTGTTCTAGGGTGGCGCTCCCCTTGTCTGAGGTGTAGGGGAGGAGGTATGGGTAAGAGAAAGGGAGGGTAGGTCTGAGAGTAGAGGAGGGAGGGAACTAGGATTGAGATGTAAAATGAATAAATGAATGAAAAGAAAGGAAGGAAGGAAGGAAGGAAGGAAGAAAGAAAGAAAGAAAGAAAGAAAGAAAGAAAGAAAGAAAGAAAGAAAGAAGGAAAGAAGGAAAGGAAGAAAGAACGTCCCAAGTTTCCAGTCAGTGCCAACAAATCATCTCCTTTACCTGCTTCCTTGAAACAGGAAAGTCCAAGGAACCAGGGTGCTAACTAGTTGCAGGCCAAGGACCATTGCTAACTGGATCCCCTTCCATATTTCAGAAGAGGAGGAAGAAGACCCAGGAGATGAAGAAAGGGCAGATGGCATGGTCAGGAGCCCTGGGCCCAAGGGGACTTCTGGGACAGTGTCAGAGGCTCAGCTTGCCCGCAGGATCACCAAAGGAAAGAACAGCCGCAGGATGCTGTCCAACAAGCCACAGGATTTCCAGGTGGGAAGGGCTCCGTGGCTGTGTGCTCGCTGTCACCCCCACAGCACAGCACAGCCACTGCTGTGATGTCACCATTGACCTAGTCCTATGGGCAGGAGCTCTCTGCTAAAAGGAGTGTAAGGGAACTAACCCTGAAAGGAGAGTTCCATGTCAAAGCAAACCATCCCGCTTCTAAGGAAAGTAACTGGAACCTTTCTTTTCTTTGGAAGGAGGCAGGAGCCAATTAACAAAGAATAGCAGTTGCATTTTTCTTAGCTCTCTGCATGAATGCACTTAGCTCTCTGCATGAATGCACTGCAGGGGCACTTGCAGACCAGGCACAGGGCTGCAGCACCAGAGCCTCAGTTGGCCCTGCTCCCCCCCCCCCACTCCCCACCGCCACCCCAGCCAGCTCTGAACCTTTTCTCCTGCTCAGCTGATCTGGATTGAGAAACCCAGCCAGGGTCCCCATGTTGGAGATGATCGAAGACCGCTCCTTCCAGACTACTGCCTGCTTTCAGCCATCCTTATGAGCCAGAGAGCTGAGGCGTCGCCTGAGGATTCCTTTGCACCCCACACTGGGGAAGGTTTGGTAACGACACCGCTTTGTACTTGCAGATCCGAGTCAGAGTGATTGAGGGCCGACAGTTATGCGGCAACAATATAAGGCCTGTGGTGAAAGTTCACATCTGTGGCCAGACACACCGAACAAGAATCAAGAGAGGGAACAATCCATTTTTTGATGAGGTGAGTGGGTGGAGAAGGCATGGCCCTGCTCACCCAGTCTGTCCTGTTTGTACACCTCCCCTCCTCCTGCCAATTCTACCCAGTTCACGGAGGAGGGAGGCACAGGAAGGGGCTAAGAACTGGAAAGTATGGCACAAGCCTCCAGTATAAGCTCAGGGAGGTCAGAGCCACCTGGGCCCAAAGCCATCTAATTAGCTTCCATCGATTTCCTACTGCCTTCCTGCCATTTTTTCAGTCCCCGTGGGCTCCTTCATCCTGGTGATGGAACGTATGATGTCACCGGCATCCACCCCAGCTCCTTTAGATTACAGAATGACTCTGAAGGTTGACTATGTCACTGTGAGATCCAAGTTTTAAGAAGGGTCAAAATTTGCTTGGCTAAAAAAAAGTTCATATTAAAGGAAAGCCACACGAACAAACAACACAGCCTGGTTCTGTTGACTTCTGTGACACACTCAAAGGGGCTTGGTGCCTTCCCATTCTCAGAGACCACAAAACCACAACTGGGTATGAACGGAAACAACTTAGGTGTATCCCAGAGCCCAGTGCTACTCTCGGGAGACAGAGCTCTGAGATTCCTTGGCCTCGACCTTTTCTACTCTCTCTTTTTCCCTAGAACATCTAATTCCAGCCTCGGTTCTGGCTTTGTCTTTTTTTCCTATCTACATTCATAAAATAAACCATTTTCTTCTCTTCTGATCCCTGTCTTTTGTCTTATTTAAGTGAGGTGAGGGCCCCATTCTCTTCAAACTTATACTTCTGAGATTGATGACAGACAATAGCATATATATACCTATAGATGGCAGTGACTTGGGGCTTTAGACATGAGACCTGTCAGTTAAGGCTTTTATGATATGGGCTTTCTGTTAACTAAGCTATTATGAGACGTTCAGCCAGAGTCTCCATCTTCCTTAGACTTTTCACATTCTTCATCTTAACCAAGTTGTCAACTTGATTTCACCAAGAACACAATGAAATGACATGGCTATATTTTATGTGTGTGTGGTACCAGGGATTTGAACCAGCATCATCATCCATGCTACATGTATTCTGAGCTACAGTCCCATCCCCACCACCATTTATATGACACATATGTCTGATTTTTTTTTTTTTTTTTTATTTTGAGACAGGGTTTTTCTGTGCAGCCTTGGCCATCTTAGATTCGATTTCTAGACCAGGCTGGCCTCGAACTCACAAAGATCTGCCTGCCTCTGCCTCCTGAGTACTGGGAGGACAGGCGTGCACCACAGTCCCTGGCAATAATGACACATATGTCTTGATAAGACATAGAAAAGCCAATCAACTGTCTGTGTTGTAGACAATATATCAGCTTCTACAGACTAAAGCAGACTACTATGGCAGACTCTCTCTCTCTCTCTCTATATATATATATATGTATATATACGTATATATACATATATATACGTATATATACATATATATATATTTATATATGTATAAGGTCAGTTTGACTATGTAGCCCAGGCTGGCCTGAGGTCTTGCGCTCTTTACCTCAGTCTCTCAAGTTCTCAGATTACAGGTGTGCAGCACTATGCACTATGGACTGGCTGTGCCATATTAACAAAACAACCGATCCCTGTAAAGAACTCAAGAAACAATAGTACTGTTCTAGATAAGATGAAACTGAAGAGATAGGACATCTAGGTACAGCTGTGATCTTTTTGTAGACCTTAAATTTTGGAAAAAAAAAATCCAAGAATTTTTTTGTTTTGTTTTGAAATATTGTTTTGTTTTGAAATAGAAAAATCTGAAAATTGACTACTTCTGTATTCATTTTGGGCGCGTGATAGCAACATTGTGCTTGTGCATAAAGGTGCCCTTGCTCTTACAAGACATGTACAAATATATTTTGAAGGAATAGATTGACATATCTAAATTTTCTTTTGAATGATTCAGTTAAAAATTAAGAATGAAAGAAAAAAAGAAACAAATAAACAAAAAAAGAAACCCAGAATTTAAGAAAGACTAGCCTTTGTGTTTTGGGTTCCTGTGTATTTTGAGATAGCCATAGACAGGGTAGAAACTTCCCAGCTTGGAAAAACTGATATAAATCTATATTCCTTAAAAAGCAAAAACAAAACAAAGCAAACTCCACCCAGGAAAACCCCAAGACCTCTGGGTGGTGGTGGTACACATCTTTAATCCTAGCACTTGGGAGGCAGAGTCAGGTGACTGTGAGTTTGAGGCCAGCCTAGTCTATAGAGTGAGTTCCAGGACAGACAGAGCTACATAGTGAGACCCTGTCTCGAAAAATAAAAAATAAAAAAAAAGAAAGAAGGAAGGAAGAAAAGAAGGAAGGAAGGGAAGAAAGAAAGGAAAGAAAGAAAGAAAGAAAGAAAGAAAGAAAGAAAGAAAGAACAAAAAACAAAAAAACAAGGCAAACAAACCAAGAAAGAGTTCTACCATGACAGCAAAGGTGAAAAGTGTTTTATCTTACCATGGTCACAACTCTTGGTATATTTACAATATTTCTATGTAAAAGTTGGAGAAAAGTAGATTAGTTTTTGTGACTACTAAATCTCTCTCCTTTTTTGAGATAAGATCCTCACATTGTAGCCCAGGCTAACCTAGAACTCACTGTGTAGCCCAGGCTAGCTTCCAACTCATGCAATCCTCTTATCTCAGCTGCTTATGTGCCGAGAAAGGTGGGATGAAACTTGACTGAGAAGGAATTACGAGCGAATGGCCAATGTTTCCTTGAAGGCATTAGACAGAAACTATGGAAGTAAGAGCGTTAGTGGACTGACTGGGCATTACGGCCTTTAGCACCACTTCGGTTAAAGTGGCAGTGTGGGAGAATCTAGATCCTGGTTTTAGTCAGATAGTCTAGTGCTAAATGAACACGTGTACTTAGTTAAGTAAATGCTTATATTAGTTATTTCTCCTGTTCTCCTATGCCACCATGCACAGATGGGCACTGTGTCCACAAGGCCCTACCTAATTCTGAAAGTGTTTAATAGTTTTCTAGACAGACCTGCAGCATCAGATCCTCCAGAACCGAGTCACCGGCTAACGTTGGAATGTGTTCTCTGTTGTTTTGACAGTTATTTTTCTACAATGTGCACATCACACCTTCTGAGCTCATGGATGAGATCATCAGCATCCGGGTAAGGGGCAAGGGCAGGAGGACACTGCTCACTGACCACTGGGCGAAGGCTGTCAGCTCACCCCTCTCCTTTCTTCCAGGTTTATAACTCCCATTCTTTGAGGGCAGATTCCCTGATGGGGGAATTTAAGGTGAGTGACAACAGCAAACTTCTTTGAATTATGTAAACATGAGAGCTCCCATAGTAGGGAAGCTGAGTGACAGCCAGGCCTCAGGGCACACATGTTGGTGCTATCTTCAGGTTATAGGTAAAGCGTGCACACCATGATTTTCACTAATGTCTTCATGGGTCTTGTCTATCTTCAAAGTATAACACTAACAGTGTCCAAGGCATGGTGCTTTAGCGTGTCACTGAGGGTCCTCATTGGCTTCCAGCTTGTCGATGGAAGCAAAGTCTTTGCTACAAAGGACTTGTTCTTGGTGCTGGCAAAAAGCCCTCAACCAGCTCTACTCACCAATGGCCCCAGAGCTCGGGCTACAAAGCCTGTTGTAAGTCTGAAATGAGAACAGAAAGTGAAATTGGGAAAGAGAAGCTACACTTTTCCAAGTAGCTCTTGCTGTGTAGACTTGTGATTGGTGCCTCAGCGGTTCTCAGAGGATGATCTACCCTCTGAAGGAAGATGCTCCAGTCACTAACATGCTTGTAAGATGATCTGGGTCAGGCAGACATCTGGTCATATCCTGCCTGTCACCCAGGTGCACTCTATTAACTGCTCTGATCCTCCATTGCTTCATCTGCAAGATGGAATCATCTTCATGAAGATGTATAAAGACATCATGGAACCGTCCAATCAATGATTCAATTAGTAATCACATTAAGACTGACTGGAGCAGAAGGAAGCTTGGAAAGGAGCCTGGGTTAGGTGATTTCCTGTGGGGTGATTAACAGTCCCAGGTTCCCTGGCGCTTTTAATGCAGAAACTAAGAAAGTCTCAGACAAACTAGAACATTCTGGTCATCCTGCTTTCATGGTGTCTTCCAACCCTGAGTCTAGTTCATTTATTCAGCAGTGATCCATCGAGTCTTCTATATGCCATCATATATCAAGCAAAGTGCTAGCACAGAGTGGGTGAGGTAGGAATTTAGATCTTGGGGGTTTAAGAGCTAGGGCATCATTTCTAGACATAATGTTTTGTTTTTTTTTTTTCTTTAACGTGACTAGACTGATTTTAAAAATCTATTTAACTTGTTTTGACTTTTCCCCAGATTGATGTTGGATTTGTTTATGATGAACCTGGTAAGTAGTGTTCTACCAGTCAACACCTTCTAATTCTGAAGAAAATGCTAGTGCTTAAGAAAATCTAGAGATCGAAGAAATTTCTTTTCAATGGTGGGGATCAGCTCAGGTCCTCTTAATGCTAGAAAAGAGTTCTTCCATAGAGACATGCTCCCCAAATCCATTACAGGGCTAAGGAAACGCTATTTCTGTAATGTGAAGGATGCTTAATGAAGACAGATAACAGCAGGTTGATACAGATGTCTAATTTTTTTTTATCATAGCACACATAAATTGTGATGTCTTTGTTTTGTGATGATCTCATGGTCTTATTAAGATCAAACTGTGAAAGTGTTACAGGGGATAGGAGGTGGGGCTAAGATGTGGGTGGAGCATGAACAGGAGATATTGCTATGTGGACCCCTCTGGGGAATTGGATGAAATCACAGTCCTGCCAGCACATCTTTAGAGTGTCCCTGTCCTTTTGTTCCTTTATGTTAGGCCACGCTGTAATGAGGAAATGGCTTCTTCTCAATGACCCAGAGGACACCAGCTCAGGTGCAAAAGGTTACATGAAAGTCAGCATGTTTGTCCTGGGAACTGGAGACGAACCCCCTGTGAGTCCCTTACCCTGTACCTGCCAGTCTTACAAACACACTTAAGCAGTGGACTGTAAAACAGAGTTCAGACTCCCAACTGTCACCCTTACACCTGATGGCTGATTCCAAGAAGCTATCCTTTGCTGATCACAGATCATCACTGCAGCTCAGATTCCTTCTTGGTGCCTCCTAGTATTTGTGGGTCTTTCTTTTAGGGGGCCAAGAGTATTGAGTCAGGGTCTCATGTAGCTCATACTGGCCTCAGCTCTGGTTCTGTCACTAAGGTTCACTTTGAACTTCTGATTTTCCTGCCTTCACCTGCTTATGTGCTAGGTTCACAAGTGTGTGCCACAGCACCCAGGAAGTATTTCATTCAAGAACTCTGTGCGTGTTTAATAACTTATTAGCATCATTAGAAAGGCTTGAGTTTTTCTTCCACGCAAAAATTCCTTACTTCATCACTTCCTTCCACCTGAAGGGTTAGTGATAGTTCTGAGACATCAGACAGAAAACTAGAAACAGGAAGCTGAAGGGAAATCAGTGGCCAAAGCTCCAAACAGTAGAGATGATAATGGAGGCATTTCTGGACGTCAGTAACTTGGTTTCTCTTAGAACTGCTTCTTTTTCACATGTGTGATTTTAACCATGTCTCTCATAGCCTGAGAAACGGGATCGTGATAGTGACACTGATGACGTGGAGAGCAACTTGTTACTTCCGGCGGGCATCGCCCTCCGGTGGGTAACCTTCTTGCTGAAGATCTACCGAGCTGAGGACATCCCGCAGAGTATGTACTGCCTTAGTCCTTCATGGGGGTTTCGGAAGTCTTTGACATGATACATACTGAACTCTGAGTATGATGGATGCTCCTTGCTATAGGCCCCCTTTGAAAGGCCTTCGTGGCCTTTCATTCATCTGGCCCCACTGAAAAATTTCTGAGCAGCTGCTGGGGCAGACACTGCTCATCCATGTTTTCTCTTGAGTGCCTCCCTTTGATCCATTCCGCTCTGTCCTTTTTTCCATCCATGTTCTGTATCCTTCTAGAGACTGCTATAGAGGTGTGAAGAATCAGCACTTCCAACCTCTCTTTTTTTTTTTTTTTAGCATTACATTGTGTGTATATATGCATGTGCGTGTCTGTGTGTGTGGTACCCAGGCACAAATGTCACTGTACACATGAGATCAGAGGACAACTTGAGCTCATGGGGGTCCTCCCATCATGTGGGTCTTGTAAGTGAGTGAAATCACTGAACTAGACCACTAACTCTATCTGTAGAAAGAAGGGTTTGTTGGGACCAAACTGCCAAGGCTGTCTCTCGGGGGCAGAGAGAAGAGCAAAAATGGCAGAAAAGCAAGTAGATTTTATATAAGTCAGCAGGGTGGGGCTTTTGAGCTGATCCAGGCTGTGCAGATTGACGCAGGACAGGATGCCCTTGCTGTAGGTAGGTGCCCTTTGAAGGTAGACTAAAGGAGGCTCCTAGCAAACAGAAACCCAAGTGTAGGCCTTTGTTTACCCAACAATGAACCTTCTGTTTACCTGGCCAAAGTCCTTCTGTTTAGGACACTGTTCCAGCACTGCCATTTTTGAGGGGTCTGATTTGGACCCGCTGAGCCATATCACTGACCCCCATCAACCTCCTCTGTCCTAAAGAAAGCATAAAATTTTATAACAAAAGTAAAACATGTTTCCTACTGGACTGTTACATATAGCTGAGCAGGGAGCAGGAAGATGGTTCAGTATGAAAAGTGTCTACTTTGCAAGCTTGATATCTGATTTCGGATTCCCAGAACCCATGTAAAAGCTAGATGCAGTGGCTTGTGTCTGCAGTTTCAGCACCCCTAAATCTAGATGGTATGCCAAGACAGGGTGCTAACCCTGAAGCTGGGGGGCCAAATGACCTGGAGTACATAGCATAATAGCAAACAAGAGAGACCCTGCCTCAAAAACCAAGATAAAGATAAAGACAAAGGTTGTCCTCTGACTTCTACACACATGTCCTGGTATGCATGTGCCCTCCTTTCCCTGAGAACACTTCCCTCCTTTCAAAGATTCTACAATGTCCCCTTTCCATTTTTCCCTTGGAAATGTCTTCAATAGATTAAATTAGGTTCACATTATTCTTCCTACACTGGCCCATTCAATTGATTTCTGTCCACTTTGCAGTTTGTTGAAACAGAGACACCACATTTGCAGTGCATCAGTGTGTGAGAAATATGCTGTTTATAAGTATATTGACTTTTCAAGCATTTCTCTAAAATGTCAGCTGGGCCTGGTACACATTCCCCAAATCAGAAAAACTGAACTTGACAATTGCCTCTTACTGACCAAATGGATGTCAGGAAAACTGTTTCATCTTCCATGAATGGTTTGTTCTTAATATAATCATTTATTAGTTTGTTTTTCCAAGGCACTCAATTATTTTAAAAACTTTGCAGGGAAAAATACATTTTCTTTCTCCCTTTCTCTCCTCTCCCCCTCTCTCCTCTCTCCCCTCTCTCTCTCCACTCCCCTCTCTCTCCTCTTCGCTCTCTCTCAAGACAAAGGGATTTTTGCTGCTAGTTCTTCCCACCCTAGAGAACAGTTCTTCTTAAATCTCTTTTGATGCATTGGGGACATTTTGAATTTTGTTGAACATCTTTCATTGTTTTAAGAGAGTGGATTTAATTTTTCCCATGGGGCCTGTCCCTTTCCAGTGGACGATGCCTTCTCCCAAACGGTGAAGGAAATATTTGGCGGCACTGCAGACAAGAAAAATCTTGTGGACCCTTTTGTGGAAGTCTCCTTTGCTGGGAAAAAGGTACGTATGTGATCTAAATGTGTGCATCTCTTAGAACAGACATTTAACGTGCTGTGATTTCCTTGGGGGTGAATTCCTAGTTATCTTTGGTAAATGGCCCCTGGTCAGTGGGCCACTCTGCAGAGACACTGGTTATTGAAACTGGCTATGCCAGATTTTCCGCAGCCTTATGTTGGAGTAGGAAATATACAGGACACCAGTTAGAAAAATCTGTCTTTTGGAGATCAGAATAGTGAGACCAGCACTGGACTGTTGTAGTTATTTCTCAGCTTCAACTATTCCCTTAAGCTTGGGCAAAATCCCCAGCCAACCATTAATCATTCCTAGTTGCCATTCTGTTGCTGTGGTAAAACTTTCTGACCAAAAGCACCTAGCGGAGGAAAGGGCTTATTTCAGCTTTCAAGTTACAACCCATCATTGAGGGAAGTCAGACAGGGATTCAAACGGGAGCTCAAAGTAGAGAGCACAGGTTACCGGCTCAGTCTCTGGCTGGTTCCCAGGCTCATGCTTCTTAGCTAGCCTTCTTACACAGCCCAAGATCACTTGCTTAGAGAATGGTGCTGCCCCCAGTGGGCTGTGCCTTCCTGTGTCAACTAACAGTCAAGACAATCCCCACATTCTCATCATCAGCCAGTGTGATCTAGGTAATTCTGCAAATGAGACTTTTCTCTCAGATGACGCTAGACCAGTGGTTCTCAACCTTCCTAATGCTGCAACCCTTTAATATAGTTCCTCATGTTGCGATCACTACCCCCACCTATAACGTTATTTTGTTGCTACTTTATAATTTTGCTATTGTTATGAATTGTAATGTGGATATCTGATATACAACCCCTATGAAAGGGTTGTTCAACCCCCAAATGGGTCTCAAGCCACAGGTTGAAAACCACTGCTCTAGACTGTGACAGTCAGAATTTACAAGGACACCCCAACTCCTGACTCCCATTGGGTTTCTCACCTTTTGTCTGACAAGCTGCTGAGACAGGAGGGTAGAGCAGAAAAGCCTGTCTTAGTCGTCTGGAAAAATCAGGGAGACTCCTGGTGTAGGGGAGACCACATCCACCACCGAGATAGTCCAAAATGGAAATTTTTATTCCATAGAATGACACACCCTGGGCAGTTCAGGAATCAAGAGCCGCCTTCTTCTTCGTGTTTGAGCTATTTCGTTATTAAAGCAGGAATCTATGAACAGCGTACATGTGACTGCGTATAGTTTCCTGGGAGAGTCATGGTGGGTACAATGGGAAAACCCCTGCCCCTGGGATAAAGTGAAGTCTGATTTGAACTGTAGGCTTCATTCTACTCCGCAGTCAGCCACACTCCTTAACTTCCGAGTGTCAATTTCCTAAACTGTAACTGTGAGTGCTAATGAGCTCATAGGATCTTTGAGTTGGTTAATTCGCTTAAGAAGCAATACATTTCGTGCTCTGGGAATATGGAAGTGACACAAGAGCAGGGATAGTTCCCTTGGAGCCCAGAAGACACAGATTGTCTTAATCTGTGTTCTACTGTTAGAGCAAAATACCTGAGCCTGGGTAAGTTTTAGAATAGAAGTCCACTTGGCTCATGGTTTTGAGGCTGGAAAGTCAAGAACAAAGCGTGGATATCTGCTGAGCATCTGGTAAGGACCTTCTACCGCACTGTACTGTGGCAGAAGGACCCGTGACAAGAGAGGGTAAATAGGACAGTTCAAATCTCTCTGCCTCCTAATAAAGCTACTAATGCCACCGTGAGAACCTCACTCTCATGACCTCATCACTTTCAATTTCCTCCTCAAAGGTCCCTCTTCCAAATTCTTTACACACAGGAATTTAGGTCTTATGTGTTCAACTAGTGAACTTAGTAAACAAGCAAACAAGAACTGGATGGTTTTAGTCAGTGCTGAGGAACACACAGAAAGCAAAATGACCGCAAGTGACAGGTGTGTGTGTATGCATGTGTCTGTATGTATATTTGTATGTATGTATGTATACACAAATACATGTGTATTTGTGGGAATGAGTATATGTGTACTCAGTGTGTTTAGCGAAGTTATCAGTGAGACACCTTGGAAGAAGTATCATTTGAGTGGGAGGCCTGGATGTGTAGAGATCCTGAGGGCAGAGGCTCCAAGCAGGAAGAGGCCACGAAGAAAGCATCTTTTCAGGGAAGGAAAGCCTGTGTGGCTGGAGGAGAGCAAGCAAAAAGGAAAGGGGAACAGGGGGTCAGTGGGGGTGAGATGGGGAGGGCTCACGGTAGAGTGGTGTCACCGTCGGTAGGCAGGAAGGGAAGTGGGGAATCATATGAAAGCCAAGTGCAGATGTTTGTGAGGAAGCATGCCGGGGGTTTCATGAAGAAATGAGTGTCAGGATTTACTGAAGGTTGAGTAGGGTGGGGTGGGGGAGAGGTTGTCCTGAATGGCTGTAAGCCTAAGCAGCTGAGTGCTGGAAATGCCAGAGACAGGAGTAGGCAGGTAGTTGGTGAGTGGGATCAAAAGACCTGGTTAATTAATAACCATGAGATGCTTATCAAACAGTATATAATAAATGTTCAGTAACCTCAGTTCCTATTACATTCACCTGTTAGACATTTAGCAAGTGAAGACATAGATTAAAAGAAAAACAATAGTGGACAGGAGAAACAAAGACTGATGTGAAAGTCAAACTCATCTCATATTTTACCTAATTATTGTCAGAAAAAAATAAAGTTCAGATTTGAGGTGTAGGTATATATGCTTCGTATGTACAAAGCCCTGGTTCGGTCCCTGTTACCAAGACAAAAGGGAGAGGTCAGGAGAGAGGAAGATAGAGAGAAATAAGGAGGAAGGAGGGGGAGAGAGAAGAGAGAAACAAAAGAGAGGAAAGGAAAGGAAAAAGGAATGAAGGAAGAAAGGATGGTTGGATGGAGGAAGGGCTTATGGGTTATTAAATATATCACTAATGACTAGACTGCCAAAGTCACAATCTCACACACACATACTCACACAGCTGTTAGCAACTAGAACTGTGACTACCTACTGTTTTTCTTTGGTGATTTTTACAGGTTTGCACAAATATAATTGAGAGAAATGCAAACCCTGAATGGAATCAAGTTGTCAATCTTCAGATCAAGGTTTGACTTTCTTTTCTTTCGTTAAAAACTAAGAATATTGACTCACCTCATTAGTGAATTAATGGATGAATAATTGCCTTTCTCTGTTTCTCTTTAACAGTTTCCCTCCATGTGTGAGAAGATAAAACTAACAGTCTATGACTGGTGAGTTGAAACTGTGTTGAATTTGGCATGAGTTGAATATCTAAGTGTTTTAGATGGCCTAACTCACACCTTTTGGAATATTTGCTATTCTATCCACAAGAAAACTGTACCTGGAACTGAAAGGCAGAGGGTTCTTTAAAAAAAAAAAAAACAATAATACTAGAATAAAATAAAAGACAATAACAATAATAATAGAAAAAAAAAGGCTTTTCAGGAAAGTTTTGGATATCTTGGTTCAATTGT